GTGTGGACTTTTTAAGTGTCTCTTGATGATTACTTATAGAATAATAGAATGGTTTGGATTGGAAGGGATCTTGAAGATCATCTAGTTCCAACCCCCCTACCATAGGCAGGGATATCTTCAACTGGATCAGATTACAAAGCCCCATCCAACCTTTCCTTGAACACTTTAGGGATGGAGCATCCACAACTTCCTTAGGCAACCTGTTCCAGTGCCTCACCACCCTTATAGTAAATAATTTCTTCCTGACATCTAATCTAAATCTCTCCTCTTTGAGTTTAAAACTGTTCTTCCTTGTCCTGTGACTGTCCATGCGAGAAGTTGCTCTCCTTCTTATTTATGTGTACCCTTTAGGTACTAGAAGGCTGGTGTTGACCAGCCTTCCCTTCTCAAAGCTTAGCAACCTCAGCTTTCTCAACCTGTTCTCAGAGGAAAGGTTCTTGAGCCCTCTGATCATCTTCATGGCCCTCCTTTGCACTGGCTCCAACAAGTCGACTTCCCTTCTGTGCTGGGGGCACCAGAGCTGGATGCAGAGCTCCAGATGGGAGCAGAGCAGAGGGGCAGAATCATCTCCCTCAACTTGCTGGCCATGCTGCATTGGATGCAGCCCAGGACATACTTGGCTTTCTGGGCTATGAACGCACATTGCCAGTTTGTGTCCAGCCTCTCATCCACCAGCACCCCCAAGTCCTGCTCTCCAGGACTGCTCTTGATCTGCTCATCCCCCAGCTTGTGTTGATACCAGGTGTTGCCCTGACCCAGGTGCAGCACCTTGCACTTGACCTTGTTAAACCTCATGATGTTCCCATGGGCCCAGTCCTCGAGCTTCTCCAGGTCCTCTGAATGGCATCCCACCTTTCAGGAGGTCTCTTGCCCTGTTTTGTACTGGAACAGCATTCTCCTTTCTTCCTTTTGCTGCTTACGGATCTGCAGGAGCAATCTCTTGCCTTTCCCATCCCTTGCAGGTTTCCCTTGCGAACTGTGCCCTTTGTAACTCCCTCCCTACCATCCTCCTCTGTTTCTCCCAGGCACCCTGTCCCTGTTTACACTTTCTGCAATGGCTTTCCAAGGTTTGAGGTCACTCCAGAGTTACCCATTCAGCCAAACTTGCCTCCTGCGTTACCTCCCTGTTTCCTCACACTCTGTACACATGCTTTAGAGAGGTTGCCTTTCAAGTTCAGCCCTTTCTCCTGAGTCTCTTGCCATTTAAGGTAATTTAGCTTTTACAGGCTACCACTTACCAATTTCCTGAACAAGCCAAGAGTGCTGCTCTGAAATGCAGGATCTTTATTGCGCTTTTTGCCTTCATTGCTTTCCTGAGTATTTTAAAGTCTTACTACACCTCACAGTCACTCAATCTAAGGCTATCATCAGCCTTATGTCCTTAGCCATTCCTTCCTTAATTGATACAAGATTGAGCAGTGTGCCTTTGCTAGTTAGAGTACCTGCAATAAAAAAGTCTTTGATTCTCTCCAGATTGCCTGTGCTCTGCTGTTCTGATCTTCCAGCAGATGCCTCAAAGTTTCTGCATGAAGACATCTAATACTGGAGATTCTTTCAATTGTTTAAAGACTTTGTCAGCTTTTTCTTCTTGACTGGGCACTCTGTACCATGTGCACACACACACATATGCAAACCCTTGCAAACCTCCAGCCTTGGCTTCCTGGGTCAGTGATATGTTGGGCTGTTGAAACAGTGGGAAAACAGCGTGCAATATTTTAAGAAAGTACTAGACACTAAGTAAACTGGTGAGAAAATATGTTTGCACAGAAGAGGAATATTACCTTTTGCTCCCTGCATGACTTGGGATGAGTAATTTCCCATCTTTTGCTCAATCTGTTAAGTCTCTGTGGTAGTAGACCGACTATAATGAAGATAGGTGATGTGCAAGCACTGCTACCTTCCAGAGATTGCAGGCATCATTGCATTAATGTTCCTAAATGTAGTTTGCATCCTCTCTTCATGGAAGCTGAGATTTGGTGATACAGAGAACATTCAAGATGACTGCCCAGTGTAAAAGTAGGATGGGAATGTCCCCATGCACAAAAGCAAGGTTTTCAAGGAAGCATGGTTGCTAAAAACAATGTGTATGTCTGTACAGCATTCTCTCATTACCAGGAACAAAATGATTTTGGGCATGTGGAAAAAATCATACTCTAATTTGCTCTGTGTAAGGATTTTGAATTTCTGTGAACTACATGAGTAAGCTGTCTAGTACTGCATAGTAGGATTAAGGCAAAAGGTGAGTGCATGGTAGAAATAAATATTTAAATGACCTGTTCAAATTACTCATACATGTGGAAAGACAAAACATCTGTATTTTTCAGTCAAGAGGAATCTTTACATACTCCTGAACAGCTGACATTTGCTTCATTCAGTGTCAACCAAGTTAAGTCAAGCCTTGTTTCCTTTTTGTATTATGCTGTGGGGCTTCCTTGTTTGGGTTACGAAACATGGAGATTCTCACTGCACTGTGCACTTTTCTCTATACCTTCCACATAGAAATACCTGTTTTTAGGCTCAAGTGTGTGCACGAAGACCTTAATTAAGAAAATATATTTTTCTAAACTACCCTGCTTGTAATGTCCAGGTGTTTCTAACTGTGGTGTTTCCCCAAGCCCACTTTCTTCTTAGTGTCTTGCATTACCAGTAGCTACCTGCTGACAAGTTTTTCATCTTAGTTTTCTACTGTAATAATTGCACTACCTCTCCTGACTTAAGTAGTTTTAAGTAGTAGTTTAAGCCAATATGTGTATACTGGCAGTGCTGGTCAAGTTTATCTACTCCTTCTTCTGCAACTTCAGGTTGCTAGTGTCTGTACATCAGAAAATAAAGTACGAGTGGTTCAATTAATCTTAATACCATTTTGAGCCTGCTGCTCTAATCAGTTGATCATGTTTACACATGTACTTATTCTGACATAAAACCCTACAAAAATAAAAGGGACTTCAATGGACAAAGAGAGGGTTTGCCAAATCCATCCCTTGCTAATATCAGTAGCTATGCCTTGTTTTAAACAAGACTGGATTTACTTTGATTTCTGCATTAGTGCAGATTACATTGAGCAGAACATTTAATGTATCTCATTGATTTTGCCTGTAATACTGTTGATACACAAGTCACTGCTCTAATCATTTGTTTTACCATTAGAATTCTGTATGCAGATCTAGTCCCTGAGGATATCAGTGTGTAACCAGATACTGCATGATCTAATCAGGTTCTGCAAGAAATATGTTATCACTTCAACACTTAGCAGCAGAAAGCTTCATCAAAATGGAAAATTTATCTAATATTTAAAGGAAAATGCAGTTCAAAGAGACAACCATGAAAAGCAGAGGTATACAAAATTTAAAGACATTTCTCAGATTAAACAAAGCCAAATCCAAGCCAGAGTCTAAGGTGATTTGTTGTGACTCCAATTACTGCTAAAGGAGAAAATGTTATAGCTGTTGCCTCGGTTTATAGGGTTTATTCCAGTTCAAGTGAAATAGCATCGCTCTCAGAAATGACTGACTGGCAGGATTTCATTAATATGATACTTATTTGCTACAGCATGCATGCTTTGGAAAGTAATTTTGAAAAGCACCTACAAAAGCATTGGTGACAGGCAAGACTTGTGCTCTGAACTCATTTTGATGTAGGATTTGGATGTCTGAGGGCCTAGTGCTGCAGTCCATTTCAAGTCCTGCTGACCTTGAAGGAGGTTTGCAAGCAGTGTGTCTGAGGCAGAGGAGCAAATCTGCTTGCTGCCATGAATCTGACCAGAAACATCTTCTTTGGCTGGAATAGTGAGAGTGTGGCTGTGCCAGCAGATGGACAGTGTTTTTGTGGAAACTGCCAGGTCTTACCACCAGGTATTCAGCAGGCTGAGGGTAGACAAAGGTGATAAACATCTCCTCTGGTCAGCTTATCTCTCCATAAAGCAAGATGAAGCCCCTTGCAGGGGAATGATCATGCAGATCACTCACAGATGTCCTTAGATTTATCACCTGCTTTCATGTGGATGTCTAAATGCTGAACAAAATTAACTACTGCTTTTTTTTTTTGATTGGTTGGTTGGGGGTTTTTTTTGTTTGTTTGTTTGGTTGGTTGGTTGTTTTTTTTGTTTTGTTTTGGGAGGTTTTGTTTGTTTGTTTTTGGGGCTTCTAGGTTTTTGATGGTTTAGTTGGGGTTTTTTGGTTGTTTTGGGTTTTGGTGTGTTTTTTTTTTTTTAAATGGACATACCTTAAGGCAGAGAATTTTGCATAGCAAAGTGCCATACCTATTTGTATTCAACTATATTGTAGAAAATAATAACTCCTGTACATAGACATGTTAAGAAGTATACTCCATTCTTGTCAAGAGCATGCAGTGGAGTTTCTGAATTTTATCAGTGGAATGCAGTACTGTCCTTGTTTCTATCTATTGTACTTATTTAGCAAAGTAAAGGAAAGAATTTTAGAGGTAAATTTAAGAAGGAAAACAGGATTCAGTAACCTTGTGGATGAGCAGACAAGACTTGAAATAAAGGTCAGAAAGATTACGTGTCCTTGGCATTTTTTCAACTCCTATTTTAGCTGGCTATAAAGGTGTGTGTGGAATGATATTGGTTTGTTTTGTTTCCTTTGATTCTGCAAATTAGACAGTGCATGATTCAGTGTGCAGGGCCAGACTCTCCCTGTTGGCTCGAGGGATTTATTATATGACTATCTTTGCTACCAGAACTGCTTCAATGTTGAGAACCTACTGGCTTCATTGAGCTTAAAGGCATAAGTAAGAGCTGGAAGGGAGTGACCAAGCATCAGACAAGCAGTGAAACAGGCATTACCTTTCTTTCAAGTTCCTGCAAAGTGCTGGTGGGGAAATGCTGCCAGACAAATGTACTGTTACTGAGGGAAAGGGCAGGAGAGGTGGTTGATGAGTGTGGTACAGGTCAGAAAATTATGTTTATTAAGGAAAAAAATCACTAATTACTTTTAATCTACAAATACAATGCTGATACTTTTCCTCTGTTGTGTTTTTAGGGTCTCATGACTCTTTTAGCTTCTACATCGATGAAGCCTCTCCAGTTGGGCCTGAACAGCCGGAAACAGTCCAGAATTTTGTGTCAGTTTTTGGGACTGTGGCTAAGAAGCTGATGAGGAAGTGGTTGGCTACACAGACCATGAACTTCACCAGCCAGCTGGGGGCAGGTATACGGTATTTTGATCTTAGAATTTCCACCAAGCCCAGAGACCCAGACAATGAGCTCTACTTCGCTCATGGTTTATTCAGTGCCAAAGTCAAGGAGGGTCTGGAGGAGATCAATGCATTTCTCACTGAGCACCCAAAAGAAGTGGTCTTCTTGGACTTCAATCACTTCTATGGGATGCAGAAGTACCATCATGAAAAGCTTGTCCAGATGCTCAAAGATACGTATGGAAACAAAATGTGTCCTGCTATATTTGCCCATGAAGTCACCCTCCAGTACCTGTGGGAGAAGGAACACCAAGTGCTGGTGTTCTACCACAGTCCAGTGGCTGTCGAGGTAGCATTTCTTTGGCCAGGCCAGATGATGCCAGCTCCTTGGGCAAACACAACGGATCCAGAAAAACTGATTCAGTTCCTCCAGGCATCAATCACTGAAAGAAGAAAGAAGGGCTCCTTTTTTATATCTCAAGTAGTGCTGACACCAAAGGCTAGTACAGTGGTGAAAGGGGTTGCTAGTGGTCTCAGAGAAACAATCACAGAAAGGTAAGTTTATGGCTGGTAAGGTGTGCTGACTGTGCCAAGTGTGTGTGTTGGTAGTGCTGTTTTTCTAATTCCTTTTAAAGAAACCCCAGTAGAGGCATTTCTCCCATGGTACTGTGGGCTAATCAGAACTTGGGCACAATTCTAAAATCTTAAAGAGAAACACATTCAAGGACAAGCTTTTATGTCCTGAAAGAAAATCTGCCGCTTAAAGCCTAGTGAGATATTATGGGATTGGCTTAATTTTTACTTTCTCTTTTTTTTTTGTGAACACAGGTTTTGCTAATTTGTTCTGTTTTTCAGATTTGATTTCTCACCATGACTATCTTACCTGGGATTTCCCTACTGAATGTGGACAAATCTATCTACATGATCTAGATAATTTGAGGTTTTATTTATGCATCAGTTATTGGATAAATAATTTGTTCATCCTGGCTCATCAGCAAAGCCTGATGCTGCAGACTTAGCATCCTTAACTACATTTACACACCTTAAAGCTGCGTAGTTTCTCTGTCTCCATACAATCACACATCATATCGAAGCTAGCAGGACAACATTAGAGTGAATTCGACTCCTGACAGTCTCTCATTTATCGTACAGGGAAGAGACTGCAGACCATTGTATAGGTTCTGTACATGGAATACTTTTTTGAAAGGCTATTAGTTGTTAAATTACAAAAAAAGCTGCCTGTGAAAGACCTGCATTATTTATACCTTTCTAACTTTATTAAATCATGGCCAATTTTCAGCTTAAAGGCATATATGCGCACTATGTTCTTGACAACTTGGTAGGAAACCTGGAATTTAATGCCAACACGTGAAAGCTGTTGGTTTTGGGGTTTTTTCTCCTTAAAAATAAAGAGCTGCAGAGTGTAAAAAAAAATTTACAGTGGGGGTCACTGGCCTGTTAGTATTCTGCTCTCTGCACAAATGTGCTTGTGCCAGGAAGGTCTGTTGCAAATACTATCCCATTCTATGAGATGAATGACGCAGCGCCTGCAAAGAAAACATGCCTTATCTTTGCGAAATGCTGAGCCATTTTTATGGGAGCTTTCCAAGCAACTGTTTACTTAAAAAATTAGGCAAAAATTTTACGTGAAATGGTAAAACATTGACAAAGAAGGTTTTATGAGCAGTGGAATGCGATTCAGAAGTTCTTGTGTGACTGCACTTGCAGCTGTTGGTATATCCTTCATCTATGTTTTATAGGCTCCATTGGACTGGAGAATCTCCCTTTCTGCCGAGTCTGAAGAGCACTTCTCTATGCTGATATACTACTTTGTTGATGAGTTTTACCAATAAACATCTTTTTGTTTGTTGTTTTGACCATGAAGTAGCACAATCAGGAAACTAACAGGTTGTTCTTAAAGCTTGCTGCATCAATAAAATAGCCATTAAAATCCATTTTCTTCTTCTCTAGCTCATAATGTACTGTCTTGAAGCTGCTTGGAAAAATAAAGGCTTCAAAAAGATGCTGAATATGACTTAGCTCTGAATGTCCTGAGCCTTTGAACTGATAGTATGTCTTTCTCCACAGGAAATTTTGAGATTGTGACTAACCTGAAATGTCAGTAAATAATTGGGCTGAAAAACCTGGAAATACTGTTTTTCCAAATTTCAACTAAGATTTTTCACATGAGCCTCAAATATGTAATCACATCTGCTTCATGGGTACTTGATTCTTTCTTTGCATAACTCTTATAGCCACTATAAAAAAAAATGGACCTTTAAAATTATCTCCAGGGTTGGAATGTGTGATAATGTAGAGAAAAACTGAGCTTGTATGTTGAGTTAACTGCTCTAAAAGTAAACATCAAGTATATTCAGAACTGCTCCTCATTTTATGATGATCCTGTTAAATAGGCGAGCAATTAGAAGATGAAATGTAATTAGTAGAACTTGCACAGTCCTCTTCAACCTCACTACCTTAAAGTTTTGGTAACTTAAAAGTATGTAATCCGTATGAAAAGAGCCAAGATATATGGTCCAGCTGTGCTGTGTTTGCTACTTTGAACCATCTCTTAATTAGTTTTAATAAGATTATTCTGTCCTTTTCAGAATAAATATACAGGTCAAATCTCATCACCGTGTCTAGGTAGATAACATATGGACTCTTTTTACCAGTTACTAAATAGACTTATACATATTATACTGTTTTCTCCTTATTAAGAAATGCTGGTGAAGAGCTTTATGTTAAGATTGCGTTTGGCAGCACTTTTGTGACCGTACTTAGATGGGGTTTTTCCCGCACATTAAATTTTAAAAGATCTGAATGCAAATGTGGAAAAAGGTTGAATTTTTCAAATAATCCTGGTGTGGGGTTTTGTTTGTTTTTTGGTTTTTTTTCCTAAACTAGGCATTACATTTGAGAAATATTTCTTTGGCATTTTCAAATAAAACTTGTAGTAATTTCTTCTGTTTTTTCCTCCGTCTGTACAGAAGCCTTTTATATATGGATAATAGAGCAAAATTCAGATCCTTTCAAATTCAATAAAACATACCAGGTTTTGATCTCTGCAGTTGTTTATTAGTCCTGAGATTATTTATGATTTGAAGAGCAATGGCTATCTTAGAGGGAGAACCTGGTTTTCCTCAGTCACAACATCTGTCAGACTAGAAAAACTGTGAGCAGACACTGAGCAGCAATCCATGCTCCTTTCTGCTGTTTTTTAGCTTATGTTGTGAAAGAGCATAGTGAAATATTCCTCTGTAGCCAACATGGTTGGTTTAATGGCTTTTCATCATGACTGCCTGTGGTGGTGGAGGTCCACACATTCACACTGCAGTAGAGCAGTCTCTCAAGGCAATACATTTCAGAAGGAAAAGAGAAGTTATTCCTTAACCTGTTCCCCACACCACAGATATGCAAGATGGGAGGCCCACAGTAACCTTGATTAAAAAAAAAAAAAATCAACCAAAAAACCAATTTCATGCTTCTAAGTCTGAATTGAGTGAAAATATACCAAGACTGTTTTCTGCTGATAAGGTTTGCTCACAGGCTTTGTCGTCATCACAGGTAGTGTTCTGTGGTACAGTAATTAGAAAGAAGGAGAAATTATAAAGTCATGAAGCCTTCTGTCCTGCACAAATATGAGAGGAAAAAGCCATTTCTTGTAAGGTCTCCCTAGGACCACAGTTCAGTGTAACAAAACTTAATAACACAGATTTCATCTTCATTACTTGAATGAGAAGAATTGCTTGCATGTATGCACATTATGTTTCTTGGATTTGATGAAAAACTTTGAGGACTATCAGTATGTTTTCAGGTTTAACATTCTGTCACTCACACAGTTTAGATGCCAAGAAATACTCTTTGATTAGCAAACAGTATGTGCCGAATAAATTATGTTCTGTGTGTTCATTGAATTAAATTCACAGTGAGGCAGCTGCCTTTAGTACATCTAAAAGGTGGTTTTGAGACACCCTTTTGATTAGTGTAGAGCTGTTCTTCCTAATAATCTAGTTTGTTTTCTGATTTGCAGTGAAATTACTAATTTTATCTCTGACACTTGAGACAAGCATGATATTCTCTTTGTTGTCTCTGAGGTTTAGTAGTATAGAAGAAGACTAGATCTCCTTCAGACGATTCAAAAAAACTTTGGTACTTTTAAAGCTTTCAAAAAAATAGAAAATAAAACGCATCCCCTGCCAATTGTCACTTAATTTCCAAATTAATCTCTAAGGATAATGTTCCCTGTGGCTCACATATGACTAAATCCTTGCCTACCATGCTAAAGCTTCCTCCTTATCAACCAAACCAAATTAAAAAAAAAAAAAATCCTGCACATAAGAATGAACCTTTGGAAGTGGAGGCAAAGCATCCAATCCACACTATTAACAGCAGGGGTGGTAAGTAGGCCACAGAAGCTGTCAGGAGAAAAGGCATCTCTTGGTACAGTCATGAACTAAGCAGAGTCAGATTTAGCTAGAAATAGGTGGATATTGTATGAAAAATGATCCCTGAAGTTGCAAGAAGTGGGATTTTTTTGAGTCGGTTACTGATGGTGCCATATCTCGGTCAGCTGAATTTTTGAGTTTCTGCATGGCAGGAAGAGTGGGAATTGATCATACTTTGATCCTTGGTACTGACTGATGCCATACTCAAACTATTTTATGTGAAAGAGCAAAACAACAGAAAGGTGATTGTGACAGCTGTATTTTCCTAACTGTCTGTGTATCCTTCTTGATCGTAACCTTGATATCTGTCTCTGTGATGGACTGCAGGAGAGCAAGAGCAGCAGGCTCCAGTGAGCTGGTTTGGATTTCAGAACTCGACAAGCTGATGAGTCAGCTCTTTAACTGCCGACAGGCGATCAGGGGCTCTGTCCCTCAGTAATGTGTGTGGTATAACATACTTGCTTGACTGGACCATGCTTGCCTTTGGAGGTGGTTGTCTTTTTTTGTCTCTTCCCCCCCGCCTCCCAACCCTAGAAGGCACAAAATGGCATTCTGGTATGTTGGTAGGGAATTCAAAAGTACTCTGGCCAATCCAGACAAATCTTTAGTATTTGTATTCTTCCTCAAACTATCCTTAATTACTTTTCCAGTCTTTCCACACAAGAAGCAGTCTCTGTGTTTGCACATAGAACAGCACAGGGAGACCTTGGTTTCATTTGAAGAATCTATCTACCATGTCAACAGGCCTGCACAGTAAAATCCCAAGTTGACTGTGTATGTGTAGTGACATTTCGTCAGAGCATCTGTCTGCATGAGAATTTTAATACAGCATTCCCATAGGAAGGGCTGGGTGGTTGTGTCTGAAGGCTTTGGTCATGAACCTGGAATAGTATTAAATTGCCACAAAATAACAGGAGCAGAGGATTTTTAATAACTTCATTAAAGCATTTATCTACATACCTACTAGTATCCTGTGGGATTTTGTCCAGAAAGGAGACTGTCATGGTGATCACCAGCTCTAACCACCAGCATTATCAGTGTCTTGTTTTTTGGGTGTTTGTTTGGGGTAGTTGTCTTGGTGTTTTTTTGTGGTGGGTGGGGGTGTCT